AATGAGAAACAAAAGGCTGAAAGATCTCTCCAGAGGAAGGGCAGTCACCAGAAGAGAACAAGAAAACATATCTTATAGTCTGTCATGATGCAGAGAGCAACACCACTATCATCTGTTTCTCTGCAAAACTCAGAGCTCATCCCAAAGCTTTAAGCTCAGACGTCCCAAAATTCTCTCCCAGGTCTCAAGGCAGCACCCCACATAGCTGGATGCTAATCAGCTTTGACAGTACAGAGCTTGATTCCTCCTTTGAGCCAGGCTGGGATATTTGCATTCTCAATTGCTTGATTCAGGAGGTTATTTCTTTTCCCCATGAATAACCCTAGCAGAGCACAGTTGAGACGCATTTCAAATGCTGCAAGTGGGACTGTGGGACTCTTTTTTTTTGTTGGTTTTTTTTTTTTTTTTGGTAATTAATCTTTTAGATTGATTGTTGAGGGTGTTAGTCTGTGCACCAGCACGCGTGTGACTGGCATGACAAGTATGAACAGCATGGAGGGCCTGCCCTTCCAAAGGAGGGAGGGAGATGGGACCTCACATAGAGGAGAGGGCACGCAACTGCACACTGGGGACCAGAGCAGGAGGTTTCCCAAGGCTGCTTATTCTTCCCTTTCGATTACACTCCCTGCATTCCTTTTACATTATCACCCTGCCCAGACACCCTGGGGGATTGTTTTGGTTTAAGCCAAGCAAACTGCCTGTGCTCACACAGCCTGAAAGATGCACTCTCCATCTCCACGCAGCCGTCACGCCACGGTCCCATCCACTCACATGCAAACACTGAAGTGCTGGGCGTGTGCAGCTATCCCTATGGAGTCTGGCTGCAGGGAAGCAGCTGTAGCAGTGACACACTCCACTACCCATTACGTGACACGAGTGTGGGCCAGTCCCAGCGAACCTCTCCTCTGCACTTGTGCTTTCTCGTCGCCCTCGGAGGGGCAGCTTTCGGTTTGTCACACAGAACCTCAGCTCCCCACTGATCACACTCACCCAACATCTGCTTTTGTTCTTCGTTAGCTCTGCAGAACAAGGCCTGTCTTCTGCCCTGTGCCTGGATAGGTCCTAGCAGCACCAGGGCTGTGGACTTCCAGCTGCCAGCATAGCACAGATGAAGAGATAACTTCCCTTAAAACACGTCTATGATTAATGCTGGCAGCAGTTCGTGGCTGTACTTTCCACTGTGCAGAGAAATAATTTTCAATTTACAATCAGTTTAACATGTGCGCCCCGCCCTACTTGGCCATTTCCAGAGGATCTCCCAAGCTTTTTGGCTGTCCCTAGATCTACAGAGGGGTGTGTGTGCGCAGCCCCAGAGATGCAGGGTGGGGACGATCACATCGGATCTCCTGAGGTTACTGAGAAGACCTGGCCTTGCTTCTGCCCACCGCATTGAAGCAACAAAACTCATGGAAACTTGCCCACGTAGATGTGAGAGCAGCAGCAAGGCCTCAGCAACAGCCCTGCTCTCTTAAGGGTCCACATAGGAGGCCAGTATCAGTCTGCTAGTGCAGTGGGTCAGAGGGAAACCATCTGGCAGAGAAAGCTTTTGCTCCAGGAAGACACGTGGAGCCAAGGGCAGCTTCGGACCCTAACAAAGTGCTGCAAACATAAACCTTTCTGCAGGCAGAGCTGCAGGTGTGGACACAGCTTGCTGGCCCCCCACCAGGTTGTGGTCAGGTTGTCCTTGGTTCTGAGTCAAGAATGGCCTCCAGCTGTGTTGGGATCTCTGCAGACTTACAGATACACACTCCTCAAGTAAACAGCTCGTATCTCCTTCAGCAGCAAGCTTATCACTGTCTCTCCCAGACTTTATGGGAAGTTAAAATTATATTTTAAAAAATTGAAGGAGTTCACAGACATCAATTCATTATTATATATCAATCATAAATCAATCTGAAGTCAGGCTAAACTGGTAGGTTCCCAAATAAGTCATAAACAATACTTGCTAGTTGTAGTGTAGAAGTCCTGGTCAAGGAAAGCATCACGGTGAGGTTTTAAATGTACACTACACAACTTCAGCACAAGATCCTCACCTCCTTCTCACACTGAACACTTCTGTAGCTCCATTTTGAACATATTTATGCCTGGAGGAGAAAGTAACTCCCAGCTTGCTTTGTAGCATTTTTAGGAAAAGCTAGCAACAAAATAACAGCTACAAGTAAATGCCTTAATAAAACTGAGAGAAAAATCAACAGCTTGAAGAACTGCTCTCTCATGTCACTAATGGGTAACGAATGGTCAAACAACCCAAGGGTGATTAGTCAACCTTCAATCAAGCACAAAAATTATTTTGATCCAACAAGCCATTGTGAAATCAAGTCTGCTCAGCCCAGCCCAGGAGGAACTCACAGTCCTGTGGGACAAAAGAGCATCACTTCCAGGAAAAATCTTCACCTGCCAATATACAAAACTGAAGGCAGGGATGAAGCTGTCAGGAAAGTCCACCACAACCTGCACCTCTGGTTCTGTGCCCTGTGCTGCTCTGGCGGTGTCTGGCCTGGAGGAACAGAATGTTTTTGAAGCAGATTCCTCTCAGCTGCTTCCAGCTGTCTGACACTTGACTCTGCAGAAGGTCTGACATGCCCAAGTCATCAGCACAGAGCTCTGCCCCTGCAACAGGTTGTACATGGCACAATCCCTCTTTGCTGGGAAGTAAACCAAAATGGGAATTCACTTGGCAAACAAGGAAACAAGAACTTCTGAAGACACCAAAATACAAAAGCAACAGGAAGAATTCCTCATGTTCCGGACTGGCAGTTAGTTGGGAGTTTACTACCAGGAAATCCAAATAAACATTCCACTGGCTGAACCAAGGCCAAAGTAAGGCAGCATTTGAAAACAGCTTGGCATCTCACTGCACTGCAACATCAGCCTTTTCTTCATCCTCCTTTGAATGAGCCAACACAGGTGTCTGCTGGTCTGCTTCAGGCTGTGTTATAAAAGGATGCTGACATGCACACAGATCAGATAAATGGGCAGCTGAAAGGGGATGGAGGCAAGCCCTGTCTGCAACCCAGGCCATGCTCACACAGACCTCAACATGCACAAGCTCCTGAAGTGGGAACATGACTGTCTGCACAGATAGAAGAGCAAAAGAGCTTGAACAGACAAAATGCACCTTCTTTAGGAAGGAAAAAAAAAAAAAAGATCCATTGTAAGCAAGATGAGAGGGCTGTGCTGAAGGCAGGAAAGAAAGGCAGTATGGTGATTAGTCTGTTACGATGAGCAAGTTAGAAATCAGACCCTGCTTTATGTCCCAAGCAGCTTTCTTGTTCAAAGCTTCCATTCAAAGCAGATCCACGCTCCTTGGGCTCACAGATCAGCGAACCCAGCAGGTCAGATGCAGTGTGGGCTGCAAAACCTCCTGAGAAAGGCAGACTGAATGCTTAGATTCTATGCCCACGCTGAGCTCAGGAAGCAGAACCTCTCCCTCAGGTAAAACAGGCACGCTGGATGTTCCCTTTTTGCATGGAGCTGAGCCAAGGATAAACACGCTGCAGGGCTACAATAGGGGGGAAGGCAACAAACTTGGAACAGAGAGAAATCTGGTAGTGGCTGGCCCATCACAGGCTGCCTGCAAAGGGTTAAGTCCAGAAAGAAGCCAGAGCCTGGCCAGGCGCCAAGGCAAGCCTGGAGCCAAACTGAAGGTAGCCAGCCAAGAGGCAGAGGCTGCTGTCTTCTCCCAGCTGAGCAGCCCCAGTAACCCAGCTTGCTGTGACCCATCCCCACAAATTGCTCTCAGAGGCACCTGACAGCCCCCCAGTGTGATACGTGCCATTTACAAGGTGTTGCTTAAACACAGCTCCTCTAGCAGGGTCCATTTCTCTGAAACAGATTATGAATAAAGCCAACAAACATGTTTTCTAGCCCTTCTGGTCTATGCAAAAGGGAGTTTTTAAACACAAGGAGTCATCTCTCAGCTGGGAATAACTGCACAGGATCACTTCTCCAACCCTGAGCTACATGTATGCTTGCATCTGATTTCTGAGGCGATGAGCAGCTACTTATGCAGCTGATTTTGAACTGTGTTGGATACATTTGGTCAGGACAGGGTCTCGTTATTAGAAGCAAAGCTGGCTATTCCTTTAGGTCACCACATGCTGGAAACAACTCCTGTAAATGGTCATACTGTTGGATGAGAGCCTATTCACCACTGACCAAGGTTTGTGAGCTGCAAGGACTTAGCACACTGGCAGATATATGAGATAATGTAAGAACAATTCATGCTCTGCTCATCCAAATCCTTGTTCTGTGTGGTTGGCAGGGAACAGTTACCAATACGACACCTAAATTCATATTTAGATATCAAAAGAACTATAAAGATGTCACACTGCATCACAAAGGGAAGGAGCACAGATAAACATGTAGTGTCTCACCTGGCACCTATTACTACACACTCAAGGAGTTCATTGCATTTCCTCCCAACACTTGCAAGGGAAAAGGAAGCATTCATAGCCCAACTTTGAAGGGAGAGAACTGAAACACAGGTAGAGCGACTTCTCCATCCCAGAACATTCAGAAAAAAGAAACAAATCCAGGTTACACAGGCCCTGCTTTCTCTGGGAATCCTGTGTTAACCCAAATGCCTGCTCAAAATTCAGTGTTCCTTACAAAACACAGACCCCAAAGGTCAGCAAATCTCCCACCTCCCTGGGGATAGGCGCAATGTGAGGCACTCAGATGTCCAGCAGAAAGCAAAATGCTCACGTGATGAGAGGCACCCACCTTGCCCAGAGCAGGCAGTGTGACCCAGCACTGGGGTTTTCACAAGCTCTGCACAAACATGAGCTCAGGAAGAGTAAATGCAAACCACATTTGTGTACAACCTTACCCCAACCAAAGGGACCTGGGTTCCTAACCTTGGGAAAACAGCTGAAACAGAGGCACAGGGGCCAAACCCAAAGATACAGAGTTGGCTTTGAAGACACAAAGGGTGGGAGCATTAGTTTTTATATGGGAATTGATCTGAGGGATAAAGAAGGCAAGGAGCAGAAGAGAAAGAGAGTCAAAGTGGAAATTTACTTTGGACCCAATCCTACAAACCTAATGCAACAGACACAGCTTTGCACACACTGCACTCTTCGCTTTGGCTGCGAGGTGGAGGCTCAAAGGTCTTCCCACAGCCACTGGCACAGGCAGCCCTTGTCATCCACAGCATGGCTCCTGGGGTGGAAGGGACTAGGATGGAGGTTAGGAGGAAGATGGGTTACCCTGAGCTGGAGGGAGGGGGAGCAGCCATCCCACACCCCTGCTCACCTCAAAGTGCTGTCATCACACTGATTTAGGGCTCTTGGGGAAACCTGCCTGCCCAGCCCACGTCTACCAAGGGAACAGGCTCCAACCTGCAAACCAGCAAACAGGAAAACTGCTTCCAGAGCAGGCGCAGGAGGGACAGCACAGCCCCAGACCTCAGCCCCCCGCCGGCCCCAGAGGAAGTGAAATGAGCCACCCACACAAGCCTGGCTGCATCTGGGCTTTGTCCACACCATTTTGGGCTGTGTGGCCAAGGGAAGGCCGCCAGCACCGCCGGTGGGCCAGGGCGGCCTCCAGACTGCTAAGGGGTGGCTTTCAGCATGAACAGCCCAAGCTGGACTTGTACTGGTGCCTGAGCACAAGAGGTTTCAGCCTCAGCTCCTTCTAAAAATTAATCTAGCAACTCAGAGAACAGAAGAAGAGTCCCTGGGCTGTGTTCTTCCTTTGCAGCGCAGACTCCTTGCATGGTGTCTTCTATACAAATGGAAAGTGCTAGGCCTGCTTACAAGATCCCCTACTCTTATAAGATTCCCAGAACTCGTGGAGGCACGGGGGATTTTCTGTGCATTTAAACAACCACCTCACATCCTGATTCCCAGAACCTCACGTTCCCTTTGGATGTTTTCTGATCAGCTGGTTTTCACATCAGCAGCCCAGGCCTGGGCACAAAAGTCTCCATTTGTTTCCTTCCGCATACAGAAGCAGAGGGGTGTTCACAGACCCACGTAAACACACTGACACATAACAGGCCATCAGGTATAGAGTTGGCTTTGAAGACACAAAGGGTGGGAGCATTAGTTTTCATATGGGAACTGATCTGAGGGATAAAGAAGTGTCAAACGGCCATCAGAGCCATCACTTCACCTTTGTTTTTTCCTCTCTACGAGAGATCCCAATGAGTAAGGAAGGAAGCAAACAGTGGGAATATCCCAGCCCACCCATACAAATCCAAATGAACAGCCAGCCACACGTCAGGGGAACACAGGGAGACACAGAGAGAATGCAGAATGGTGCTGGCATTTCAGGGAGGCATTTTTAGCTACAGCAGGAAGGTCAGACCCAAACAGAGAGCTCCAACACAATGAGCTGCTCATGCTAAATATAAACCACCCGAGGGCACAGACATTAGTTTGTTTTTACAGTGAGCCAACAGACAATCAGCACTGTGCCACAGCCCTGCTGAAAATAACTCACAGAGCCCATGCTTTTGCCAGGTGCTAGCCTAAGTCAGTGGAAATGATAAGTGGGAATGAGAAATACTCACACTTTCCCATTTCTGCTATGACCATCTCCCATGACAGCACCATCTCGTGACAGATCTATCCAGCTTCCTCACACACACCGTACCTAATGTTACTTTAGCTGCTGTGAACACTGTAGGCTCTCAGGCCCACAGTCCTTTCCCAATATGCAACTTGGCAAAAGCTACTTTTTCTTAAGCCCAGGTCACATCTGGAGGTTTCCACACTTTGTACACAAATATGAACACAAATTGGTTTTGTATGCCTAAAGGTGACGTTTACCCAGCATAGCTATCCCACCGTGGCTCCAAGAACTGCAAGAAAACAAGAATGTGCAAGAAGGAAATCATGAAGTGAAGAGATAAAATATGTTTCAGCCCCAGTGAATAGAAGGGAAAGTGCCCTGGCTAGAAGCCAGGATGCTATTTTTAAATGCAGTGGAAGGAAAAGGGAAAACCATGGTGTCAATCCAATATCGCATTTGGTGCCCAAGGAGACACTCAAGTGATTTGTGTGGATGGTATTTAAGTCGGTATTTCTTTCTAGGCTTCTGTTACAGAAGAAAAATGATTTCCTTACTCTCAAGCATGTACTTCTTGGCAATAGGGAGAGAGAGCAGCCGGATGTGGCCGATGAGGGAGCCCCAGGCGTGGGCTCTGGAGAGTGGAGTTTCGGGTGGCAGCGGGCTGTATGGCTGGATCACAAAGTACACAGTTAGCAAGACCAGTCCCAGCGTGAGCAGGCCCTGCAAGAACAAACAGGCACGTAATTAATTACACTGCAGTGAGCTGATGTGTCCTCAGCACAGGACACACCTGAATGCTGAGGATGGGCGCTGTAGGATGAACCTCCAAATTTCCACTGTGGGTCCTCACTTATCTGTGGTGCTTTTCACATACAAGAGATGTCACTCGGTTTCACTGCTATCCAAAACCAAAATTAAGCAGCCTTCAAAACAGAGCCGCACAGCTCTGTCCATTTATTTCAGTGCTGCTGTTCACCCAGCACCAAAGCAAAGAGGATCATCCACAGATGGCTCAGATTCCTCCCACCTCACCAAATGAAAGCCTGCGCTTCCTCCATACCTCTTACACGAGGTTTTCAAAGCTTTTTGCAAACATCTGTCAAGCCTTGAAGCGTTTTGGCAGAGGTGGTGCCAGCTCCCTCCCCCACACAATCCCAAAGAAGCCTTCAAGAGATGACACCATGCCATTCTCCCCAACAAAGTCAGAGTGAACCAACAGCAAAATCCAGAAGAGGAGATGGAAGTTCAGGTCCCCGGTTTCCCATTCTCCAGCCTCATTTTACAGCTTTTATAGGAAGGGAAGATAACAGCATGATTACTTTTTCTAAGTGGAAACCACTGTGATGATTCTGCAAAGACAGCTGAACATTATGCCACTGAGAAGTTCTTTACACTTGTAACATCTCCTACCTACTTATCAGCATAGCATCCTTTCCCCTACTTGGGAATGCTTTTTACAGCATCTCTTAGTTAAGTTTCTCCAAGCATTTTTCTCTCATCGAGCACCATGGCAGCAGGTTCATTTTGTAGACTAGGAGGAGAATAAAGATGGGTGGAAGCTCAGGACAGAATCAGAAACAGAACTTGGATGCCTTCGTTATACAACCCTGAACTTTGAGAATCTCCTTCCTTCCTCACATTTCCACTGAGTGCTGGCATTTGGAATCATTGCCTGAAAAATCAATCCAAAGACTTTGTTCTTTAATAATTTAAGGAGAGGGAGGTGTTGACATGTTCAACTTTCAATTCACACCAGTAATTCCAAATCTCAGTCGGTTGCCTTCTATTTTCAAACCAGCTTATGGGAGGAAAGAAGAAAGCTATGCTTAACATCTTCTTCAGTAAAGAACTTGGAAAACGCAATGGGAAACAAATGGCTCAGATGCAAAGGGAAAAATTCACAGAATCACAGAATTGCAGGGGTTGAAAGGGACCTCCAGAGATCATCAAGTCCAACCCCCCTGCCAAAGCAGGCTCCCTACACCAGGTAAGAGCATTCAGAGCCTCAAATGTGCTGTGCATGCACAGAGATGCCTTACCTTGTAGATGGCCACTAAGACAGGGTAGCGGGGAGGGCCCCTTTGGGGTTCATTCCTTTCCAAGAGCTGCTTGATGAATTTCTCGATGGCTTTTTCTGACATCCCACACTGGTGCCCAGTCTGTCTCACCAGATCAATTGTCTCTGATAGCTTGTCATAGATGCTGAGCTCGTTGGCTGAAAGCTCCATGGCCTCCAATGAAAAATCCCTGTGGAGAGAGAGACTCAATGCATTACAGAAAGCACACTGCAGTCACCCATCTCAACAGCAGCAGGTGCAGAAAGATCCCAGGAACACAAAGAAACAAGGCAGCTGCAGTCCTGATCTCTGCTGGGCCGGTATGAAGATAGTGCTCTGAAGGGCACTGAAAGCAGCAGCAAAATTTCCTAACAGCAAAAGAAGCAGCGGAGATTTGCAGATTGTGTAAATGAACAGAACTTCCCAGAAATCAGTGAAACTCTATTTATTCATCTGTTCCAAACGATCCATGCCATAAAGCGACTGCTTACCGACTACGAGAGCCAGCACTAAAAGCTGATCACCACAGACAGCAGCCAAGCCAAGCTCTCCTGCTCTATAATTGTAGTCGCTTATTTTAACATAGATTTGTTTTCATTAAATACCCTGTCAGCAATAAGAGGAAGGCAGGGAAACAAGCTGTATGCACAGGGTAAAGTTCAACAGATTGCAATTGGTTCAAATTTTCGCAACCTCATGTCCAGGCCAACTGATTATTAAGTAACAGTAATAAGATAGCAGCGTGCTCTGCAGGCAGGAGAACCCTTGTGTCCCACGGAGGGGTTGCCTCCAGGTCACCCACATGCAGAAAGGCAGGACAAACTGCGTTGTGAGCTACAGACAGACACTAAACGGCACCTGATGGCAACTGACTTCCCAAAGAGATTTCAAAGGGAAGCTTGTAGGAATGCACCCTATGAAGGGTGAATGTTAAGACACCAGCAAAAGAAATCTGTTCCTCTGCTGCTCCCCTTGTCTGCCACAAAGGCAGAGCTCTGCAATACCCAGAGGAGCAGATTTGTCTGCACAGAACAGAACCCAAACTGTGGGTTTCTACAAACCAGAACTCAAACCACAGCACTTGTAATATTTTTCTGCAATGCTAGGATGCTGTTTCAGAGAAAAACAAAACAGATCAAAACCAGCAGGGCTGCCAGCTTCTGCAACTGCTTCACTCATCCCAAGAACATCCACGTTCTGCTCTTGCACATTTACGTGGCCACACAGTGAATCAGATCAGGAAAACCATCTTGCTGAAGAACAGTCCCACCTTGTTTAGTCAGCAGCTGCCTGTACACCTTACTCAGACACTTCACATCATGTTACAGCAACAGCAGTGTCAAATATTTAACTACAGCTTTAGAAACACCATAAGAATACAAAGAAAACTGAACTCAGAGCACACAAAGAGAACATACTGCACTGCACTGCCTGGTTAATTAGCTTCCAGCCCTGTTCTGCCACCATTCCCTCCATTTCGGGCAAACATTTGTCCTAGATCTCACTACCTGAGCAGCCTCACGGGCTGGCAGAGCTGCCCAGAAGCAGGTTTGGATCAATACATCATTATGGACTGTAAGCTCCCCAAGGCAGGGACCTTTTCCTCTGGTCAGCAGAGTAGGTGGAGTGCACTCAAGCTCTATAAAAACAATGCACTGCTTTACTAACTCTTTTATTTATGTAATAAAGAGCCAGCACATCTGCATGATATTAAGTGCCTTTTTTTCCCCCTCAGCTTTTAGTTGCCTTGACAATGCAACCAGTGTGTGACAGGTTATCTCGCTTCCTCTTGTTCCTACGTGCCAAAACTTTTGCCTGTGAAGCTCCCAGTGCTGAATTCCTCTGCTTGCTGGATCTGCCTGGAGCTGCTTCCACATTTATCCCTACAGAAATGCTGTCAAACAGCAGCATCCTCCTTTCCAAACAGCAGAAGCATCCTGCTCTAGTAAACTGCTGAGACACATCTTGATGCACTGGAACAGGTTGCCCAAGGGGGCTGTGGATGCCCCAAACCCAGAGGCATTCAAGGCCAGGCTGGACGTGGCTCTGGGCAGCCTGGGCTGCTGGTTGGCAACCTTGCACATGGCACAGGGGTTGAAAATAGATGACCCTCGTGGTTCTTTTCAATCCAGGCCATTCTGTGATCTTAGTTCTCTCCACCCCCACCTTTGTATTCAGCTCTGAGCAAGCACATTTGCCAACAACCCCTGTGAGTTACAAGGCACTGAAAAGCCCTGCGTAACTCCTTGGCAAACCCAACAGCAACCTGCATCCTCAGCCAGGACACTAGACACTACTGAAGACACCTTTTTGAGAACAGACAAAGCCTTAAAAATATATATATAAATAACAATCCATTATGTTCCTTCCTACACAACCAGGCTGAGAAAATAACAACAAGAGGCCACTGTATGCAACACGCACATGGGGCGGGCCTTATTCACAGGGCAGGCCTCCCCAGCACAACATCCAGGCGTTCTGTGCCATTTTCGATGAACTCTGCCAGCCCTCGAGGTTCCGTTTGGTGACGGGCAGCAGCCACTCGTCCCAGCAAACAACCAAAGCCAGCTCTGCTCCCACAGGGCTGGGAACGAGGGCCTCAAAAAGAGAAATACTGAGCAAGGAGCGCTGCGGGAGAAACCTCGAGAAGGGAAAGGCCGCTTCTATGGGGAAAACCCGACACAGAGCCGCAAGGGGAAGATTTCCACGCTGGGCTCTGGATGCGCCGTGCCCACAACGAGGCCTTGCATCCCACCGCCACAGCGCGGCCACCGCCGACTGCGAGCCAACGTCCAGGCTTTAAGATAAATAAAAATCGTTATAATTAAATAAACAGAGGCAGAAAACGCCTCCACGGCCCCGCGCGGCCCACGGAGGCCCTCAGGCCCAGGCCCCCCCCCCGCCGCACGGCTCCCGCCCGCCCCGCCGCCCCCGGCCTCACCCCGCTCCGCCGCCCGGCTCCGGGCTCCTCCCGCCCGCGGTGGAGGCGGGGCCGGCCGCTTCCTGCTTCCGGCGGAGGGAGAGGAGGGAGGCGGCGGGGGGAGGATTTTCCTTCTGAGGCAGCTTTAGTCCTTTTTCTGCCTTATTTCTCAATTGATTTTGATTTTCAATTCCTCCTTCCCTCGCCCTCCCGGCTGACCTCCCCTCAGCCTCCTGTCCTCCAGCCAAACAGAATCACAGAATCTCAGAAACACCCAAGGTTGGAAAAGACTTATGAGATCATCCAGTCACACCGCCCACCAAACAAACCCTCACCTGTCCCACCCTGCAGACCCTCCCCCACCTTCACAGCCCTCTACTGGATGCTCTTCTATATCTTATGTCCTTCTGATGTTGTGGCCCCTCCATCAAGGCACCCCTGCACCCCTCAATCTGCTCCCTGACCCCCGCGCCATTCCCAGCTATGATGATCACAGGCTGGTTTTTGGTATCTGCTGCTCTCAGGTCCCCATTTCAGCCTCATTCAAGCTCTCAGCCTCGGCACCATCCTGCAGCAATGAGTTCTGCAGCTCGATCAGACACCGCGAGGATTCCGTTGGGATTTCCTGCCTTCCCAACCCCAGCTGATGATGTAGGGAAGTCTCCACTCCACTTGAGCACGATGCCAGAGGACTGGAGGGAAATCCTCCAGGATCACTACTGGGCATTCACAAGCAAACGCTGGCTTTGCTGGAAGCTGGCACCTGGCACTCCTAACACAATTTGTCCCAACGTGTCAGGATCCCCCCCAGTTTGCCAGCTCTCAAGGTGCACAAACAAAGCAAATTGGAGGCAGACACCTGATGACCTGGGGCTGGAAAACGAGGTCTGCATTCCTGATGCAACTTGGGCAGATCCTTTCTTTCATGTGGGGCGCCTTAAAGAGCTCAAAGGGAAAGAACCTCATTAAAAAAAGTTCCTGTAGTCCAAACGTGAATTTCCCTGTTGCTGTTCATATCTTAGACCTCGATCCTCCTCTAAATACTCATGAATGTGTTTGCAAATGAGCAGTCCTTATGGTTCAGTAATCACAGAATAGAATCGCAGACATTTAGGTTGGAAAACACCTTTGAGATCAGAGTCCAACCAACGCTACAAGTCCTATGCAAAGCTGTGTCCCCAAGTGCCACATCCACGTGTTTCCTATATATCTCCAGGGATGTCAGCTCCACCACCTCCCTGGGCAGCCCCTTCAGTCCCTGCCCACCTGCCCTGTGAAGAAATCCTTCCTGACACCCAATTGGAACCTGCCCTGCCACAGCTCCAGCTCATTTCCTTGCATCCTCTCACTGAGAATAGAGACCAACACCACCTCTGTAGTTTCCAACCTGCTTTACTGCCTTGCAACACGTCCAGGCACAGATTCAATCCTCTTCTATAGGCATGATTTCCAAGAGAACAGAAGTTTCTTTCTGTCTGCTGCTCTGCAAAGCTTTTTCTTTTGCAGATCAGTTTCAGGCCCTGCTGTTCTTTGCTTGCAACAGCAATGAAGGTTCAGCCGCATTTGCTGCCATCTAACGGGGGAATTCAGGCTCAGCTCCTTACACTTCTGTGAGCAAATGAATTGCTCGTGGAGCGGCAGTGGGATTGCCCAGGACAGGCAGCATCTGCTGCACGTAATCCCAGCAAATTTAGGGAAGGGAGAGAGCAGATCTGCTGAAAGGCTTCGGTGCATGGGCAGCTCTGCAGGGGGGTCATACAGAGGCAGTGAGAGGCGCCCATTTGAGGTGGTCAGGCTGGAATGGTGCTCCTCTCCTCATCGACCAGACTTGCAAAGGGTTCTTGGGATCATATTGCTTTAAGATAAGACAACAAAGCAGAAATAGGGAAGATGGGCACAAAAAAATCCTGTTGTGGGTAACCTGAACACCGAGTCCAGCCTCAGCCCCGAGCTGAGCCATGAAAGTTCTTCCTGAGTCGCTCCATTCTTCAAGCCAGCCCCATAACACACCCAGTAATAAAATCATTTTATAACGAAATGTGGCAGAAGGGGATTGCCAGGGAGTGCATGGGAGCATATATTGCATCAAGCAAAAAAGGTCCTTCAAGGATTAGGGCCAAGGGAGGACAGGAGGTGGCAGAGGGATGGGGTGGGAGCAGCCAGGTAGGGGATGGAGGCTCAGGTGATACAGAGGTGCTGGGGCACTGAGCTGCAGAGGAGATGCACGTGTCTAAAAGAGCTGCTGGAGCTGTGTTGCTTCTTCAGCTGCTGTCAGTGCAATATCACAACCTCCCTGGTGGAGTTCATAACCCTGATTTCTCTGAGCAGTCATCCTGTGGTCTCTCCTCATCTCCAGTTGCTTTTCTGGCTGCCTTTGCAGTTTCAGACCACAGCAAGGACTCTCTCCATCACCAGCAGCATCCTTTTTTCTTCTGAGGCAGCTTTGGTACCTCTTCTGCCTTATTTCTCAATTGATCTTCACAAACTTTGAGTGCCCTGGGCAAAAAGGAAGCAAACGAGCCATGCATTTTCCCCCATATTTTATATTGCTCTTCTATTTATCGAGTGAAAGGTGCCAGGGGCCTTTCCAGCTCAGTGTGCTTTGAGAACTGCTGAAAACCCCAGCCTAAACCCAATCACAGACAGAATTGATTTAAGCAACCCAGGGAGAAAGCAGCAGCATCCTGAGAAGTCTCGTTTTTTCCACCTCTTTGCCATGCAGAGCACCCAGGAGATGTTTCCCAGCACATCCCCACTTCATCCCAGTGCTCTCTGCGTAGCAGCTCCAGTGGCAGCAACACACTAACACTTCCCATAGGAAATGCAGGTGGGAGCCCATTAAAACCTTGGCAAAACCCAAGCACGCTCCTCACCTGACCAGGCTGACGATGGACTCAGTGACGTTGTGGCCGGAGGCAGCGCTGCATTCATAAAACAAGAGCTGATGCTCCTGGAAGACACAGAGCCCACAGAGAAATGTGCTTCCCCTGCTTTGCAATGGTTCGATACAACAGTGAATAGCCAGGGAGCATCACGGTCAAGCAGAAACGGAAGGGCTTGGGAAACAAGTAACCCAATAACTGATGGACTGCTGCCTGAGGGTGCAATGCACCTTTTCTGGTGGCTGCAAGACCAACATTCAGTGCTGAGGAATGGGACCCCAGCTGGGCAAGACACTGCAGCAGGGCCATGCACCCACCTGAGCCAGGCGCTCCCCCTCCAGCGTAGGGACCTGCCTCTCTGCAGCACAGTCTGTTTTGTTCCCCAGAAGCAGAACCGTGACTCCATCTTCTGCTCCCTCCTGGGCAGTGAAAGAGGGGAGGATCAGAAATGCAAGCATCACCTCCTTGAATCACAGCTGGACGCACAGCCCAGACACATCCTGAAGGGATTTGGGCCAATAGCTGTGAGTTACCCCCATTTCCCAGGGGCTGTTCTAGATGTCAGATGTTACCAAAGCCTCTTTCATGGGGCCGGGTTTCCTTGCTTTGCCCACCTGGATGCAGCTGAGCCAGTAGTGCACATTGGCGAAGGAGTACTGCGACGTGACGTCGTACATCAGCACCACCCCGTCTGCCTTCCGGAAGAACTGCTTGGTGACACTGTGATACCTGCAGGCAATGCAAAGCATCACCAGGAGGGAGGGAGGGAGGAGGGATTGCCTACAGCCAACCTGAAATCCCAGCGGAAAAGCTGGGAACACAGATCAACCAAGAAGCCAAAACCCTATTTTTGCTCCTATCGCTCAAACTGCAGAGACTTTGAGCGTTTATTTTTATCCAAATGACTTCCTTTAGTATTGTTATTTTCAGACCACACGCTATATGGAGTCCCTCCCCAAACAACCCCCTTTGCAAAGCAAGAACATCCATTTCCTATAAGCTGCCCCAGGTTTCTCTCCCCAGGCACCCAGCCCAGCACCTCACCTTTCCTGCCCAGCTGAGTCCCACAGGCGGAGAGCGAAGCGCTTGTTGTCCACCACGAGGTTTTTGACCTGATAATCCAGCCCTGGGACACAGAAAGGGATATTTGGATACTGTGGAGTTTCCCTCTTGTAATACGGATGGAGGAACCACATGATGGAGGCTGCAGCTCAAGTTGGCTGCTCCCAAGGAAGCTCACAACCCTTGGATATTTGACAGTTGGATTGGTGCCCCAGAGAGGTCAAGGAGGGCTGGCATTGCCTACTTGCAAGCATCGCCTACTTGCAAGCATCCAGGTGTGCGTGGCTCAGTTTGGACCTTGGTAACAGGACAGTGTGAGCAGTGATGTGTGTGTAATGACCTCCAGCAACCTGTGGGGTTGGAAGGAAGGGAACCGTGATGGTCACCCACGTGGGTGCAGAGCTGACCTACCTACGGTGGCAGCGAGGTGCGGGTTGAAGGTGTCAGCATGCAGTCGGTACAGAAAGGAGGTTTTGCCCACATGGGAGTCCCCAACAAACAGCACGTTGTAGAGGTGGTCTGGCTCCAGAGAGCCCTTTGGGGCAGCTCCTGCTCCACTCACAGTCACAGCTTCTGGCTCTCCAGGGCTGGGCTCACCTCCTGGGCTCTTCTCCATCTCTTGTTTCTTCTCCACATCGAGCTCTTCTCTCTGCTCTCCTGAGAGCTGTGCCCCGCTGCTGACCACCTCCAGCAGTGGGCTGTCCCCGAGGGCCATCCCTGAGAGATCCTTCACAGCATCTTCCCCTTGTAGGATCCCTGTGTGAAGGGCTGATGCTGGTGGCACTTCTTGTTTTGGAGTCTCAGCAGGTCCAGCAGTTGCTTGTTCTGCTTCCATCACGTCTGGTGGCTTCTGTGGCTGCCGGGGAGCAGTGCGAAGCCTCCCCTTGTCTGCCTGTGCTGAGACCTGCTCCTGGAGCTGCCTCTGGGCTGCCTGTCCCGAACCACCTAGCAGCTGCACATCTGGAATGAGAACACCCTCCTGCATCATCGCACCCAGATTTAGAGCACTGATTTGTAACGGTACCTCGGAGACAGGAGAAGCAAGTGTGGCTGCATCGGCATCGTGGCCCTGCTTTAGTTCCAAATGCTGAGCTTCGACTAAAATCCTTCCTTCTGCCTCCAGCCTCGCTCCCTGCACCACTTCCAGACCTCGAGCTCCATCCAGAGGCCTCCCCTCTGCATCAGCACTCGATGTCTGGGTTTCCTCCAGGATCTGCTCATCTGGACCACTGACTGCTACCAGCCCTGGATGAGCATGCTCAGCAGCAGCGTACTGAGTATACTCGGGATGCAGGGCAGGCTCAACATTCCTGTCCCAAATGTCTGTGCTGTCAGCCATGCACGGAGCTGCTTCTAGAGCCACAGCTGGGCTCTCTGCCCCTTCCCACAGCCCTGATGCACACAGGGGTTTCCCATCAGCTCCAGTGCTCTCTCCATGGGCTTCTGCCTCCTTCCCTTCCAGCTCCTGAGCACTGACCTGTACCAGCTCACCTGGAGCTGGACTCCTTGCAGGGATTTCTGCTGGGGAAAGCCCCTCACCAAGCACTGCAGCAGCTCCAGCTCCCCCCTCCAGCCCTGGCTCTGTTCTATCAGCCTCCAGCAGTTGCACATCTGGCCCCACGCTCTCTGCCTGCTCTGTACCCAGATCATCACCCAAACTCAGGAGCTGCAGCTCTGCCTCCAGGCTCTCTTTAACCTCCCCCAGCTCTGCAAACAGCTGCACATGGGTATCACCACTCGGGGCCTCCAGCAGCTCCAGGCTTCCAGCCTTTTCCTGGGGTGACAGCTCTACAGCAGCCCCCTCTGCCTGCCTGGCTCCTGCTCCCTGCAGTTCACACACAGGCTGATTGGGCAGCCCAGGCTCAGTCAGTTCTTGTCCTCCGTCCTCAGCATCCTCCCTGAGATGCACGGCTGTGTCATCCAATCCATCCCTCAAGGCTTCTGGGCTGGGAATCCCATGCAGCAGAGTGCTTGCTGGAGAGTCCTCTGCCTCCTCTAGTTCCAGTTCCTGAGCACTGATCAGGACCAGCTCATCCTCATCAGAGCCCTCTTCCTGCACCACTTCCATCTCCCTCTCTTCTTTCAAGTGCTGTACATCTTGTCTCTCATGCTCAACCTCCTGTGTGAGCTGCACAGCTGTATGCCTCCCCCCTTCCAATGGGGCTTCTTGACTGGGACCCCACTGCAGCTGCGTGCCCACCTGAGAGTCCTCTTCCCCCTCCATTTCTACTAACTCTGGCTTACTGACCTCAGCCACCAGTTGCATTTCTGGCCCCACGCTCTCTGCCTGCTCTGAGTGTGGCTGCTGACCTGGGTACAGAGGTTGCAGCTCTGCCTCCAGGCTCCCTTTGATCTCCCTCAGCTCTGCAAACAGCTGCACATGGGTATCACCACTCAGGGCCTCCAGCAGCTCCAGGCTTCCAGACTCCTCCTGGGGTGACAGCTCTACAGCAGCCCCCTCTGCCTGCCTGGCTCCTGCTCCCTGCAGTTCACACACAGGCTGATTGGGCAGCCCAGGCTCAGTCAGTTCTTGTCCTCCGTCCTCAGCATCCTCCCTGAGATGCACAGCTGTGTCATCCAGTCCATCCCTCAAGGCTTCTGGGCTGGGAATCCCATGCAGCAGAGTGCTTGCTGGAGAGTCCTCTGCCTCTTCCATTTCCAGTGCCTGAGCACTGACCAGTACCAGCCCATCAGCTGGGCTCCTTGCAGGGATTTCTGCTGGGAAAAGCCCCTCACCAAGCACTGCAGCCCCAGCTCCCCCCTCCAGCCCTGGCTCTGCTCTATCAGCCTCCTCCAGCAGTTGCTCCTCTGGCCCCACGCTCTCTGCCTGCTCTGTACCCAGGTCATCAGCCACACTCAGGGGCTGCAGCTCAGTCTCAGTCCTTTCCATCTCTCCCCAGCAGTGCCCCGCTGCACCACTATCCTCTCCATCCACTTTTTCAGGGTTGGGAGCTTCTCTCACCTCTTGCACTGCTGCCATTTGCATCTCAACACATCCTGGCACCTGAAGCACATAGGTGGCAAAGCTGCCTGCTGGGAGCTCCACCTCCCGAGCTTTGAGGACTGCCTCCAAATTTTCTCCTTCTCCTGGGAGCTGCACCTTTTCCCACTTCATCTTTTCCCATCCTTCTCCCTCCAACCCCACCTGTGCCTGCTCACCCATCTCTGTGCTCTCTCCCAGTGCCTCTTGTGGCCTCTCAACCTCTTTTAGCACCTGCTGCTCCCCACCAGCACCCCTTTCCTGCACAGACAACACCCTTTCCATCCGCTCCGGGCTCTGCCCTGCTCTCTCCACGCTGTCTCCCTGAGCTGCCCCCTCCTCCTGAGCTCCTGCAGACGCACCAGCCTGTGTCCCGTCCCCAGCACGAAGCTCAGCTGCAGCTCGTCCCTCTCTCGGGTCTTCTTCCAACACCTTGTGACTGATGTGGGTCTCTCGTGGGGCTGAGCCGCTTGGTCCCGTTTGGAGCTCAGCATCATGGTGTGGGCAGTGAGCAGCATCTCCCAGTGGTTGCAGCTTCTGCCTGCTCAGAGCTGCTATTGCATCATTCATCTCTCTTAGCAAAGAGCCTTGGCCAGAAAACCGTTCCTCTTTCAGAAATTCGGGGAAGGGATCCTCTTCTACAGAGAGCAGCCGTGACGGGTTTGTGTCTGCTGCTGGCTTTTCCCACACCCTGGGAAGAGCAGAAAATGGGGTGAGCACAACACTGGGACAGAACGCTGAAGAGGAAGGAATTTTTGGCCAGGGGAGGGTGGAGGATGAGAGTGCAGTTCCTGGGGCCCAGGACCCTTACACATGGTGGGCGCTCCTGTGCTTGGGCTCGCTGCCCTGGGAGCCCAACTTGACGTGCATCTCTGACAACTGCTGCCCTGGGCTCATCTGTGGCAAAGGGAGGAAAAGAGAAAACAAAAAGCTTGGCAGAGTGTGTATCCATTTGAAATGGTGTTCAGCTTTCCAGCTTCAGTTTCCAGATATCCCCACCCAAAATGTGGGGGTAGCAGCCCTGTATGCTGCTGCTCACCCCTTCCCAAGCACCCAAACCCCTGTGTGACATCCCACCACATCCCCACTCTGCGCAACTGCTGTACCTGCAGGGATGGCAGTGTCTCACTGGGCAGCTCTGCCTCCTCTTCATCCCTGTAAGCACAGAGCACAGGGTCACGATGGAAACTGCCTCCCTTCACCTCCTCCATCCCCTCCCCAGGATCCTCTGCAGCCCTGGAAGCAGTGATGTGCTCTGTTCTGCTCGGGACTGGGACAGCAGAGCCCACCTGTGGCCTTTGCACCAGTGCTGGAAGGGCCCTGTCAGCACAACGCTGATTACACAATGCTGATAATCCTGACTCCTCTTCCTAGTACCTTTTGTACCCAATTACACCACATCCCCACACTTTTCACACCATCCCAAAGCAAAACGGTGGCTGAGTCCCATCCAGCTTCCTCCCCATCCACTGCAACTCCCAGGAGGGAGCCAGGTATGAGCAGAAGCCACTCACCGCGGTTTCTCTGCCCGCTGCTGAGCCATGGCAGCCCTCAGGCACTCGTGGGTCTGCTGCAGCTGTGTGTGGATGTGCTGCAGCTGCTCCTCCAGCACCCGCTTGTTCTCCTCCAGCTGTTGGTTCTCAGCACTGGCAGCTCGCTGAGTGCTGCTGAGACTGCGGCACTGTGCTTCCAGCTGCAGGGAGACAGCAGGATCACCTCCTGCTCCAAGGCTGGGGCTGGATTTTCCCCAGGGTATTGAGTGGGAAACTCAGTTTGTGCGCCCCCAGGGAAGGGAAGCCAGTGGGGATGGAGGCAGAGCGTGAGCGATGGAGGTGCTATGCGACGAACTGCAGAGAGCATCCAGGTTCAGGTGTACAACACCAGGCCAAAGCCATGAGCGCAACCTAAAGAACTGTACCACCAAGTGTCAGGGTTTGGGGTCAGCATTTGGGGTCAGCTCACCTCCTCCTGCGCTGCAAGCAAGCGTTGCACCTCCCTGCCTCTGGCATCCAGCGCTCGCTGCAGCATCGCGCAGTGCAGGCGGCTCCGGGCTGTGCTCTGCGGTGTCAATGGGAACATCAGCACCCAGATGGGTTTGGGGTGCTGGGTACCTTTGGGGGGATGGGGGGGTTGGATCCCTCGCCTCCTGCTCCATTCGCTGCCGCTCCTCTTGGATCTGCTGCTCCAGGACTTCGCAGAGCTGCTGCACCTCCTGTTTGTGCTCAGCCACGCGTCTGGGGGCGGGGGGGGGGGGGGAGGTCAGGAGGGTCAGAACTGTGCCGTGTGGATGTGGGGACACTGCATGGCCCACCAGACCCACAGAGAGCAAGGAGCTCCTTCCCCCAGCAGGGATGTGGCGGCACTTTGGCCATGGGGTGAGTGACTGCAGATGGAGCCCAACCCCAAACATGGGCACAGCGTGAATCCTCTGCGCCCACGTTTCTCCCTCCTTGGGTGCCCCTCCCTGGCATGGACTCACTTGTTGAGGGCCTCCTCCAAGGCCTCCTTCTTGCTCCGGGCTTCTTGGATGCGGTGCCTCATCTTGGCCATGAAATCCTCCAAGTTGCCCAGGAGTTGGGGCTCGTCCTCCCTCAGCTTGGCCCAGAGCTGCCAGATCTCCTGCCTGCCGGGAGAGAGCAGCAGGGCAGCAAGAAAAGATGGATCGTTTGGGGGTCCCTATCACTGGGGCTGCGTGGTCCTGGGGGTGGCCGTGCTCCTGCCCCTGGGACAAAGGACAAAGGCTCTGCCCACATGGGCACCAAACTGGGGAAAGCTCTGTCCTGTCCCATCCTGCGGGACACCTGGGGGTGCTTTGCTCACTCTTCCCATCTGTCATCCACTCCCAGTTGCTCCATGAAGGCTGCAAAGTGTTTCTTCTCCTCGCTGTCCGTCTCTTCCCACGTGGGGCTGGCGAGGACCAGGCAGCTCCTCCGTGATGCTGCTTTCCGCCGCCGATGCTCCCTGCTGATTTTTTGGGAACTCAGGAACCGCCCTGTAGAAACACAGCCCTCAGCACCCGGATCCCAGTGCTTCCCACCCCAGTGATCCGTGGGCTCAGAGCCACAGGTGCTTCAGGGCAGCTGAATGCCACCCAGAACACTGAGCATCGCCATTGGAAAGCACTGGGTGCGTGGAGTCACCATGTTGGCACTTACGGAGCCCAGCAGTGAATTCCTCAACGCTCAGCTGCCCGGTGCCAGCAGCATCCAACCCATCAAAGAGCAGCTCCAGCTCCTCCGTGCTGCACGGGACAACCTCCTCCTCCTGCAGTTTCTAACAACAAACCACAGGACCATCGAACAGTTGTGTTGGAAGGAGCCCTACAACCCCCCGGCCCCATCCCTTACCTGCATATCTGCACGAGTGATGAACCCCTCTGTGTCCCCGTGCTGCTCCTGGATCACATCCTGGACTTTCTGCATCACAGCTGCTGCCCATGGTGGCTCTTCAGCCGCATCCCTGCGGAGCTGCCGCCGCCGGCTGGATCCCATGCGCCGACCCCTGGAGCCCACGCGCTGCTCAGCCATGGCTCACAGTGGGGTCCTGCAGAGGGGAACCCATTAAACGGCTCAGAAGGGCCACGAGTTTGGCAATAAGAGGCACTTCTCTCTGGTTGCACACAGCCCAGTGCCCAAGTGGGGGATGTGGTTTCTGCCCGCTGTGCTCCCACCCATCCTCAGCGCGGGGTCGTGGGGGTGATGCAGGCTCCAAGCGGCTCCAGGAGCTCCTCAGCATCTCTGAACATTCCTCCCCCAGCTTCCGCAGCCCTGAGTCACCTCCTGTGACCTCGGGGAGGTTTTCCATTCACGCCCCTGCCTTCGCCCCCGGCTCAACCCTCTCATCCTCATTGCTCTGAAGCGTGCCCAAATTGGGACAAAGAGTGGGAGAGAGGGGAAACCCCCCACAGCCCCACCCCTCCTTTCGCAATGCTAAGCCCTAAGGTGCGCTGGCAATAAGGAATGGGCCCCAAAATGTCCCCATCCCCTTCCACTCCCGTGCAGCACTGTCCCACAGCATCACACAGACGTAGGGGGGCCCTGTGAGGTCAGCAAGGAGGGAAGGGGGGAAGGAGTCAGGATGTGGGTACCCCATTCTGTGGTCCCAGCCACTAAGAGAGCCAAAGCGGCAGCATTTTGGGGAGGGAATGGGGGGGAGGTTATGATGCAAGGAAATCCCCTCGGTGCCTCCCCCTGCCCCACAGAGCGAGCTGAGCCCGTTGCGTGCCATGAGATGGAGGCACCGAACACGGAAAAGCTGTAAAATAAATACCAAAGGGACTGAAAAACCAGCGGCTGTCTGAGATGCTTCCTGCTGAGGGGCAGCAGAAGGATCACCGCTGCCAGAAGCCCCACGGGTGCAGGGCCAGGCACCAACCCTGCGTCCCTAACACCCAAACCCCTTTCTTTCCCCCACTTCTCTATCAGCACGAGCCACCCCTTGAGAGCAAGGCTCACCTCCTCCACACGCCCTCAGTTTCGAGATGCCGCTGCCTGGCTGCACCGTGGGGCTCCCCAGGGCTGGGGGGACATCAGCCCCACACAGACTGCGTTGCTGCTGCGCACCTCCCGGCCCCACACCGTCATTCTCTCTCTTACTCAAGGCTGCCTTCCGCTTTGGGGTTGCACTCAACTGCCGGTACGCACACGTTTCCTGTTTGCAGCACCACAGAGGGTGCAGCCACGGACCCCAACCCACCCAGACCCCCCAGGAGAAGCCCCCATTCCTGTCCTCACCAGCAGCAGCCAGATTCAAAAGGCTCCATCCCACAGCTGGACATCCCACATCCCAATCCATCACCCAGATATGCGACAGCTCCTTTCCCCACCAGACCCATAGAAACCGCAGCTCTGTGGGTGCTGCACCCCTAAAGCAACCCCCAACCCACAAACAACACCCCCTCCCCCCCCCCCCCTCCCATCTCCCAGTACACTCCACAGCAGTTATTCCCATCAACAGCCACCCATTCCCTTCCACGAGACAAGTGTTTATTCAGTTACACTCACAGACAAACAGGTATTTCCCCTTCCAAGAAGCCTCAATAGCGTTTTCATAAATAAACATTTAGTGCTGGGCAGCTGCCAGCATCTCTGACAGCAAAGTGCATCACGGTACGAGCTGGGAGCAGCGCCCACCTCCTCTGCCTGGGATCACCCTGCGCCCCTTCGAGTCCCAGCACAGAGGGGCAGGAGGGGAACCCAGTGAAAGTGCTGAGATGCAACAGCACCGAGAGCCTCGGAGCAGGGCTGCATCCTCCAGGACATCCCTGGGTCACAGAGACAACAGCAGCTGCTCTGCAGAGCCAGGCCAGGGTCCTCTCCCCCAGCTCCAAAGTAGGAAATAGTCCAGGAGAAGGCTGTCACTTCTTCCAGCTGCTGCTGAGCAGCTCTCCGCCCCTCCAGCAGCCTGGCAGTGCCAAGCAGCAGCAGCTCTCCATCCAGCTTAGTGTCAGCATCAAACGAGGCGCAGCAAGCCAACAGCACGCCAGGAACAGCACCAGCCATGGGGCAGCAGAGCCTGGAGCAGCCCAGCACCTCCTGAGCAGCGCTGGCCCCACGGGGCACCTCCAGCACGTTTGTCACCACTCTGTGACAAATGCATCGCTGAGTCACTGGGAGCAGCTCCACGTAGGGCTCACACCCAGCTGTGATCCACACCAGTGAGACTGAGGGTTTTGGAGCTGCTCCATGCCAGGCAACAGGCAGTGCTGGGCACCAGGATGCCGCAAGGACCACGCCAACACAGGGCAGGGGACACTCAGCCCCGCTTGCTCCATTCCAGTCCCCCTCAGTCCTTTCCGTGGTCTCCAGCGTCAGCTCCTCCTATACATTGCACACAGTGTGGGCCCCTCAGGAGCCCAGAGCTACTCATAAATAGGGAACTACAGACTCAGCATCGCTTCATACAGACAGCTCAGACAGCACAGGGCAGGGAAGGAGCCACGACACCCCCAGGGCACGTCAGCATCCGCATCCATCCCCAGCAGCGGCAGTCACAGCTTGGGCTTGTCGTGGACAACTCTTCTCTTGGAGCTGTAGAAGTCTGCAGGGCACAAAGAGAAATTGGGAGGCATCAGGGAGCAGAAGGAGAAGGCTGTTCCCGGGGCAGCACCCCAACCAGGTGCACTCACACCTCCAAAGGCCCACATTCACGGAGCCCTGCATCACATCTCCATTGCTGAGCCTGAGGACTTCTGGCCAAAGGAGCTGAAGGTGGTGAATTGTTCTGGGGTATTTTTATTGATGGGACATCCGAGCCCAGTCCTGCTGCCCACCCCTCAGCCAGTCTGCAGCCTTTCCCCTCGAAAGACGGGATGCACTGAGGCTGGTCCATAGCTGTGAGTGCACCCAGTCCCTCCCACAACACCCCCAGAAGCACCCAGAGGGACATCACAGCCCCACCACTCACCTTTGACCGTGGTCTGCCCACGTTTCAAGCGCTGTGGAGAACCGACCCTGGCGAGCTCCGAGCTCTGCTGGGCTGCCCCATGATGAGCCCCGCCGGCAGCATCCTTGGGGGGAACCCTGTGGGGTGCTGAGCTCCCGTGATCGCCCCCGCTGGTGGCCTTGGCCAAGCTGAAGCCCCCCCGCGAGGGCTGCTCTGCCAGCAGGACCCTCTCCCATTTGAAATGCCCTTCCAGGGGTGTCTCCGTTTCGAAGTTGAAGTTCCAGCGCCGCTGAGCTTCTTCCAGCTGCTGCCTCAGCAGTTCCTCAAAGTCGTTCTGGATCTGCTCGTGGTCCACGGGGCCGAAGAGGTTCCTGCACACTTTGCTGCTGCACGGCATCGGCCCGGCTCTGCTCTGCGACAGCGGCATTGCGGCTGTGGGGAGGGGAGACAGGAGGGATGTGAGGCCAGGGCTGCGAATGGGGCAGAGCTGTGCACAGCATGGGACCTGCCAGCAATCCTGGGCTCACACTGAGGGGTGTGAATGGTCTCGGCCATAGGGCAGAGCAAAGCGGCACAGGGGCAGGTGAAGCAATGAGGATGTTGTTTTTCTGGTTGGTTTCTTCATATGAAGAACTCAGCCCAGTGGCAAGGAAACTTTTCAAACAGGAGCAAGAACTCACCGTAAGCCTGACAGCCCCACCGAGCACCTCCTGTCTGCAAGGAGCTGTTGGGTAACAGGGGGGAAGGAGCCTGTTTGTTTTCTTTCAAATCAATGCCAACAGCTTTGACTTCCACGGGATGAGCTTGTGCTCCTTCCAAAGCGCACAGAGAGACCCCCATAGGGTGAGTGATTATCAGAGCAAAGCCGGGATGGGATGCTTTTGTACAGCATGAGGGGGAGGGAAAATCATCAAATCCGGGCAGAAATGCATTAATGGGACAAAACCACACGGATCCCTGCGCGCTGTGAGGCCGGTGCTGCTAAGTGACACAGCAGCTTTTGTCACCTCCCACCCAAAGCTGGGGTCACACAGGTGCGCATCCCCCCCCCCTCCACTCCACCGCCCACAACGGTCGCTCTGCCCCCACATCCCCCCCCTCAGCCCCCAATGGCGACGGATCGCCCCCCCCCCCCCCCCATCAAAACAGCCGCTTCCTATCAGCGGGCCGAGCTCAGCGCCAGGCAAGTCTCAGCACGTCCCGGCGGCTCGGCAGGTGGGGGGGGGGGGGGGGGGGAAAGGAGGGGGAGGGAAATGGGGCGGACCCGGTTCGGTTCCGCACGGAGCGCTCAGCGCAGCCCCGCACACGGGAGGAACCGCCGCCCCGCACCGCTGCCGCGCCCAGAGAAACCGCGCCGTGCTGAGCCCGGAACGGAGCGGCTCCGAGGGACGCCGGCAAGGAACGCAACCGACACCCGAACCCGGCACCGCCTGCAGCTCCCGCAACACCTCAAGCGGACGCGGCACCCCATCACCACCCCCCCAATCACCCCCTGTTGCTGTCGCTGCCCCTTTCCTCTCCTCCCCGCCCCGCACACCCGCACTCACCCCGCGCTCCGCGTCACTCTGCGGTTCCCGGAGCCGCACTCCGCCCTTTATAATGGGGCAGGGAGGGGCCTCACGGCGTCGCCCGGGATTTCCCCCCCCCCCCCCCCCCCGCCCGCAGTGCTGCTGTTATCGGGGGGGCATTCGGCGATTCCCATCTCCCGGTGCGGGACCCCCCCCCCCACACCCCCCAACATCGGGGCTGCGCGGACCCCTACATGGAACGCGGGGCGTCGCCTCCAGCGCGATGCGGGTTTCCCCCCCCCCCCCCCGCCGCTCCAAGGGATGCGGTGACCTTCAAGACGGCTTTGCTGAGATTTGGGGATCCCGCATCCCTGGGTCACCGCAGCGCGGAATTTCCGCGGGACGCTGCAAATCACGGGGAGCCCCGGGGGAATCACGGGGGTTGGTGGGGGGGTCTGGCTCCAGTGATGCTCCCTGGGCTCAGCTCCGGCCCTGCAGGGTTCCAGGGCGCTCTTGTCGGAGTTTTGCCCCGGGGGTGGCCTCTGCTCCGCCAGCGGACCCCTCCAGCAGCGAGCCGGGCCGGGGAGCAGCATTTGGCTGAGCTCAGCGAGCAGCAGGAACAAGCCTGTGCATGTCCTGCATGCAGCGCCCGCAGGGACGTTTGGCCCCATTGCAAAACGCCCCCCCGGCCCTCAGCAGGGAAGGTCCGAGCACAGCACGGCTCCCCTGGGGTTCCAGCACGGGCTGGGATGCGTGGGGTTCAGGTGCTGCAGCGCCATCAGCACGGTGCAAAGCGCCTCGACGCGACGGTTTGGCAGTGAGGGTGCAAACACAGAGCTTGGGATGCGAGGAGATGGCAGCGTGATGGCAGGCGATGCGCTGAGCCGGGTGAAAGCGCTTCTGCAGGGCGGTGGGCGCCTTTGCAGCAGGGGGGGATGCGGCTGAGCCGTGCTGGCAGTGAGACCCTCCTTGTGCAAAGCCTCCGTGCGTCGGTTTCCAGGCTGGACCAGCAGCACAGCAGATTGAGGATATGTTTGGACATGTCTGGCTGCAGGCAGCTGCATCACACAGCGGCGTTTTCCAGCATCGGTTCCTCCTGCAGCGCTGGGCCAGGCCAGGAGGTTGCTTTGGGGTTGGGTCCCTCTGGATGGGCAGTGTGGGATGGGGAGGAAAGGGCCCTGCAGGCGCTTGGGGGATGCAAAATCATCCGAAATTAACACTGCACGTTGCACAGAATCCATCCTGGCTGATGCTGCCAAGTCTCCAGGCGCAACAGAGTCAACCTGTGCTCCTGATGTGAGGTGAATGTGTGTCAGTTTGGCTGCTGCCTGTCCTCCCAGCTACATTTGAAGGGACACAGCCCAGGGTGAGCCAGCATGTGGCAGGCATCCTTTGTGGTGTCCATGGGGCTGGGATGGAGATGGAATGGGGTTGGGGATGAAGTTGGGATGGGGTTGAGATGGGGGTGGAATGGGGCAGGGATGGGGATGGGGATGGGGATGGGGATGGGGATGGGATGGGATGGGGTGGGATGGGATGGGATGGGATGGGATGGGGTGGGGTGGGATGGGATGGGATGGGGTTGAGATGCTGGTGTGGAACCAGCGCACAGAGGAAATGGGAAGTGGAGAGAGGAATAGCATCGGGTCAGGCAGTGCATGGTCAAGTCTGCAGTGGCATCATCAGCAAAAAAGGGAAAAAAAAGTGTGATGAATGAGGAAGGTGGTACAGGAACTAAGGAAAAGCCCAAAGGTGACTCATGACGTTCAGTCCCGACAACACATGGTAGGAAGAGGTCGGATGGGGACCAGGCAGGATGGGAACTGGGAGCAGTGCTGGGGACAGTGCTTCCTTCTCCCCTCCAGGTGCAGCCCCACATTAGAGCTGTCGCCCCCATCCCATCCTTACTCACTACAAGGGCTGTCCCAAACCCCATGGCATCAATGTGGGAGAATCCCTCCTTGCAATCTGCTTGGAAAATAGATCCCAAGGGCTGATGGCCAAAGAGATAGACTAAATGAATGCAGATCTCCTAACTTCAAAGTATCCTCCTTGTAAGGCACTTAAAACTGACAGGATGTTGCTATCAGGGCTGGGAAAATCCTTTGGGAACATTTCCTCTCCCCAGGTGGGTCCCAGAGGACACCGAGGGCAGAGGAAGCGGCCTCAGACACGTATGCAAACATTATTCACAGCAGGCAGGGAGCTGTGAGTCAGTCCTTGCTCAGCAGCAGTGGAGGAGCATGCCTGGGCACAGTTCCTCTGACATCACTGCTGGGGATGCAGTGAGCAGCACCCCGGTGCTGGGAGGCGGATGGAGGCTGCAGGGGAGCAGGAATGGTCTGAGCTGGGGGGTGAAATGGGGCTTTGGGCACTTTGGTATCATGGAGTCACAACCTGAGCCCATAGCAAAGAAGGTGCGCCAAGAAACCCCTCGGTGGGTTGGGTTGCTGAAGAGAAGTCCGTGCTCTGAACTGCTTTGAATGCATTCCCATAGGAGAGTTTGCTAAAGGTAGGGTACAAAATGTCACCGACTGACCACCGAACCCAGCAGTGGCTGCAGGAATTGAGCAGAGCTCCTGGCCCACAGCGCTGCTTCAGGGCCTGGTGGTGCTGCAAGGTGCAATGAGACACGGATTGATGGGAAACACAGTGTGCCATTGGATGGATCCACGTAGAGGGGAGCAGCAGAAGGGCTCAGGCAGATGGGCCCCTCTGTGCCATCTGATGATGGCACAATGACACACTGCTACTCTTCAGGGCACCAGGAACTCAAGCTCTACAAAAGCCTCAATTTCTGCCCACCCTGATAATGAGGGGACTGAGATCACCGCGTCCGTTCTTTGGCAGTGCTTCCATGCCTCAGCACAAAGCCCCTTTGACCAGTGCTCCCAGCAAAGGGCCCTTCGTGCCCCACAGCCCTCCTGCCCTGCGCCGGATCTGTGACACTCGGTGGTGCAGACCTGCAAAGCGCAGCACCCCAAGGAGCAGCTGGGGCTGAGCCCAACCCCAATGGGGCACAAAAAGAATCGTCCCCCTCCTCAACACCCTTCAACCTTGAGAACACCCCGAAGAGGTGTGAAACCACCCGGCTCTGAGAAGCAGAGCTCCACGTTCTCTTCGTGCATCACTAAGGATAGGAGCAGGGTGCTCCAGTGGGGACCAAAGCACGAAACAACGCCGCGAGTATCCAGGCCCTCCTCAGCCAGATTCAGATCTCCAGGATTTTTTGTTATCTCTGCTAACAAGGTTTTTTGTTTCAAGGGGGGGAACGTGAAGGCTCTTAATGAAACGCTCACGCTCCAGCAGAAGTCTAAATGAGCCCAGTGTTCGGCTGAATGGCGTTTATATTCCAGCGAAGGCTGTTTTCCCATCAGCTCTTTGAAGTGCCCAATTAAGTGATTTTATAACTAATAGGATTTTCCCAGGAAAGAAAGACAAGAATGACAAAACGCTGAATGCTTGATTAACTCTGCCCCTAAAAGAACTTGGATCGTGTTAATTGACTGTTTCCCTGCCATATACAGCCCTTGTTTGCTCCATTTATGAAGGCATTTTGATGAGACACCGGACCCAGCAGAGTGGAAATAGAGTCCCAGCGAGCACAAATTGCAGATCAGACAGGCCCTAAAACAAGGCTGCATGCTGGAAATATTCCTGGAGCTATGAATTGTTTGCTTCATTCAGCCCCTCACTCATTTTCATCCAAGATTGTTTTTAGCCCCATTCATAGTCATTAACGTAATTGCTTCACTGACTTTCCATGAGCAGCTCGGCAGCTTTGTGCTGTTATTTTTTTTCAGCTGGCAGCAAAGGGGCTCATTGTTCCTCGTGCTTCTGTACCTGGCTGTGTGTTTGGGTGGTTATTTACTGGCTGCTCACGGGGTGCCAAATTCCCCTTAGATGAGGAGGACTCCAAGGACGGGGCTGCTGCCACCAGCAGAGCCTGGTGCTGCCAGGAGGGCTGAAGCGCAGATCTGCAGGCACAGCTCTGGGCCCTTTTAGATCCTCTTTACCTTCTTGCAAACCTTCTTGCAAAGGGGAAGATCAATCCTGAAGGTCCACAGCCTCCTGTCTCAGTCCAGCCCTTCCTCGCACACGGGAGAAGCTTCCCATTGGGGTGGCGGAGGAGGACAGGGACTGCTCCAACCTTCTGCGTGCCAGCATTCCTTACGGGCATCCAGAAGCACGCAGTGTGGGTTGGTGGTGCAGAGGGAAGCCGATGACCCTCGTCACCTCCTGCCAGCAGACAACACACACACACAGCACTGCTGATGGAGGCTGCTTTTCTGCACCAGCCGTGGGTTTGCCTGGAATCCACCAGGAGCACAGGCTGGTCCTTTACAGCCACGCATGTTCCTACGGAGGGCAGCTGACTCACAGTGCCTGCTTTCAGAGCCCTGGCTCAGCACAGCACCAAAGCAACCAGCACAGCAGCAGTGGCTGCACTCATCGTGCCCTGATTGCGCCCACGTGGAGCCCCAAAGCCCGGCTCTGCAGGACCAGCCCTCTTCAGCAGTGCCTCACCGTGTGCCAGCATCTCCTCACT